TTTACAGCAAGCAGCATTCCTCTGTGCTTTAAGTTTCTGTTTAAGTTCTTGCTCTGACTTCCCTCAGTGATGGATTGTGACCTAGAAATGTAACCTGTGTGAACCCTTTCCTCTCTGTACTGTTTTTGGCCAGTGTTTTATTACAGCAACTGAAGAGCAAACTAGAACAATCAATATTATGACATATTACATCATATTACCAAGACAGCATAATTAAGACATTGTAGAAATGGGTCATGGAGAGACAAAAAGATAAACAATCTGGAGAATCCAGAAACACACAAAGAAAAGTGTTCCTATTAAATAGCAAAGATGCCATGAGCCATCAGGAATGAGACTGGTTGACAAGTGATATGGAGATGCTATTTACAATCAAGAGGGACAAACTTTTATTTTACTCAAACCAAAGTAAATAATAACAACAATTTTCTTATATATTGAAATTAAGCATGAAAAAATTAAGTGATGAAAATACAGAAAAGGAAAAAAGAGCTTACTAAACTGGACACCACATCAAAAACTGTTCATATAGTTTTTGGATTTGAACATGACTTAGTTAAGTAGGAAACAAAGGTAAAGGGAGTGGTGTAGGCAGTAGTTTCTCAGGTCCTGCCCGGCCCCATGGTCTGGATGAATCTCTCCCACCTGTGGTCCTTCAGCTGCTTATAAAATAATTACTCAGTAGTCCTCCTTTACATCTAGTATCCAGTTATGAGTGAGTACATACCATGTTTGTCCTGAGTCTGGGTTGATGGGGGAAGACTGGAGGGGTGGAAGGAGGGAAGAGAGGGATCTGTGATTGGTATGTAAAATGAATAAAAAAATTTCTTAATAAAATAAAATCAGAAAAAATTACTCACAGGCTTAATATCAATTACATATTGTATGGCCTATGGCTCAGGCTTCTTGCTAGCTGGCTCTTACAATTAAAATCAACCCATTCCTATTAATCTAAGTATTGTCATGTGTTCTGAGGCTTTACCTATGTTGCCTTACATCTTGCTTCCCTGGGCAGCTCTCAGCGTCTCTCCTGACTCCTACCTTCTCCTCTGTATCTTTGCTTGGATTTCCTACCTGCCTCTAAGCTGCCTTGCCATAAGCCAAAGTAGTTTATTTATTAGCCAATGAGAGCAACATTTATTCACAGTGTATAGAAAACCATCCCACAGCATAGAGGAGAAATTTTCATATATATAAATAATTAAAGACCAGTTCTAGATTATATGGGAAGTATGCAAATCAGTACAAGTAAGATGATCACTGAAATAAAGATCTGGCAAAGTAAGACTATACAATACCCAAAGACAGAAGTGAAGTGACTAATGAGCATCTAAGGGGATTTTCTGTCTCATAATTATCAGGTAACTGCAAATTACAATAATGCTAACCACCATATTTCCATTTGAATATCACAAATTGAATAGCTATGAAATGTCTTCTAGACAATGATTGATACAACCCTTGCAATCATTAACTTGCAACAAATGTCATTGCTTGCATTTGGCCCAAATAAGGTTTTTTTCTATGAACAGTCAGTCATGGATGGTGGAGGAGCTCCTGGGGTATAACTTACCTTTTACCACTGAACTGTTGGCTACTGCTAGATTCTGAGAGAGGTAATCAATGTTTTTAGCTGTTTATTCAGTATTGATCCCATTAAGTTCCAAAAGATAGCTCTAAACCCATGTAGCTGGAAGTTTTCCTGTGTCCTGCCCAGTCTGCAGCAGCTCAGACCCAAGTAAACACACAGAGGCTTATATTTAATTAAAACTGCTTGACCATTAGCTCAGGCTAACTACTGACTAGCCCTTACACTCAAACTCAGCCCATTTCTGCTAATCTATATGTTGCCACATGTTCTGTGGCTTTACCTGTGTGCCATTACATGCTGTTCCCTGGACTGTGGGCTGGTGTCTCCTGACTCAGCTTTCCTCTTCTCAGCATTCTCCTTGTCTGCTTATCCTGCCTATACTTCCTGCCTGGCCACTGGCCAATCAGCATTTTATTAAACCAGTATACAGAAGCATTATCCCACAGCAAATGCATGGTCACACAGATTACCCTGATTAAATTAAGTGAATCACAAAACAAAATGACAGGCATAAGTGAGAAAGATTTATGAAGAGGAGGCAGAGTGGACAGGATGATAGGAAGATGGGATAGGGTAGGGTGAGAATAAGCAGTATGCATTATACATATGTGTGAAGGCTTCCAAGAAGAAAATTAATTAGTAAAAATTTTGAAGTCAGATAAAAATCAGACTCTAATGAGAACACTGAGAAAACAGATTATAAACTAAAAGTAGGCAATTGTTCAGAGGACTATTTGAAGGAATAACAAAATTAAATATTCATACATCAAGTATTTGATATGGAATCTAAAAAATGTCATATTGTAACAAAAATATGCATAAATGGGCAAGAATATTCATCAAACCATTACTTGAAATAGCTCTAAATAATTATCTGTCAAAAATGCATTCACTTAGGAGCTGGAGAGATGGCTCAGTTGGTAGTTAATATTTGTCCCGTTTGGCTGTCATCCCTTGGAGGCCTGTTCTTTTCTGAAGAAGAAATAGGGATACAGTAGACCTGAAGGGGAGGACAGGGATGGAAGGGAGCTTGAAGAAATGGAGGGAAGGGAAAATGTGGTCAGGATGTATTGTATGAGAGAAGAATCTTTTTTCAATAAAACTGAAAAATAAATAATGCTTCCTGCTATTAAAGAGGTCTTGATTGTGGTTCCCAGCACACATATATGACAGCTCACAAGCTCCAGGGTATCTGTCACTTTTTTTTCTGGCTTCCATGAACATCTTTATAAACATGCACATAACCACACAGACACACACACATACACATCATTAAATATTTTTAAAATGTGTTATCTTGGAAGGTCACCATGTTTTGTTAATTAGCTAGTGGAAAAAGTCTTCATTTCTCTCAATATATGTAGTGACCTTCTCTGAGAAGTGGGCAGATAATGATGTGAATAGTTCTGGGAGCAGGTTTGTAGCACGAAGTCATACGTAACACAGTAATGTAAATGAAGAGTGAACTTGAGTTAGGGTAAGACTTAGTTAACAATGTGGAAATGGGGCAGTAAGAAACAAACAATAGTCTGGGAAATCCAAAATGCCCATGTGTATGAAATTACTCATTTAGGAGTACAGCTAAAAGACATGAGATGAATGGGATTGTTTTGGTGAAAAGAAGGAAAAATGAAACAAAACACTGACATACCATACGTAGATTGATGAAAAAAAAAAAACCCATACACACTAAGAATAGCATCAAACTTGTATCTGTGCACTTTAATGTACATGTACACACCCATAGGGATGTATGTGGGTGTTATATTTTTATGCCACAAAAGAATTAGTTAACCTTTCTCTATTTGGCATTTATTTCCTTAAGTTTTATTTGAAATAACTTTACACTTTCTCCCTTTAATCCCTGTGATTATCTGAGATGCAGTGCTGTGCATCTTCTGTATATGAACTATCCCTGACTGTGGGTACACCCACTCTCTTGAGATTTTGCATTGAAGTCTCCTTGACATCTTGGCTTGCAACGCTCTGGACTTCTCTGCCAAGATGAAATCCTCACTAAATAGTATACTTTCCATTCATTCGTACTGAAGGCAGGTTATATCAGCTATTATGCATTGAAACCACCTGCGAACTTTGGGATTTTCCACTGCAGTGAAGTTCTATGAGACTGATGCTTTTTTTTTTTTTTTTTTTTAAACAGTCCACATGTCTCCTTTATGGTCTAAACTCTGCATGTGGCTGAATGTTCCCAGTTTGTCTTTGGTTAAATTTTTAATCTCTAAATAAAATACTTACTGAATTCTTAAGAATATAAGATTTATTGATATCTTAAACAAATATAATTAATTTTAGTAGAAAAGTGATGACAGGGGCCAGAGAGGTGGCTCAGGAGTTAAGATCACTTTTTTGTACTATAAAAACACTAGAGTCCAGTAGTTCAGAACATCTATAAGACTAACTCCAGCATATCTGACACCCTCTTCTGTCCTCCACAGGTACCTACTTATGCATGGCACATGCCCGCTCATGTGTGCACACACACACACACACACACACACACACACACACACATAAGCAAAAATAAAAGTAAATAATTAAAAAAGAAAAGTGGCCACTGAGAAGAAAACATGCTTTCTTCTCTGTGTTGTGGGCTTTATCTTTTGTTTTCAGAACCCACACTGTTAGTTTATCTGAACACCTAGGAGACTCTCACAGATATTTCATCCAGGGAGCAATATTCTGCCTCACCTGAGCAGGCCTTAGAAATATAGTCCCTTAAAGTGGGTGAAAACTACAAATAGAAATTACTTTTCTGTGAAGATATCAAATCAAAAGCCCCTTCTTGTATGGAAGTACCAGTTACTTCATCCTGTTGCCACAGTAACATCTGCAGTGAATAAATGTATGAGGTGAATTCCCATAATTTTACATGGCCTTAGTGTCTACTCTGAGTGTGTTTAACTTTCTCATACGCAGTTTTCAGCTCCCTACCTCTGTCAAGTCCTCACTGTGGCCAATCTAGATCATGGTTATTTATTTTTTCAACTTTAAAATTATAATATAGTTATATCATTTCTCCCTCTAATTCTGCAAATACACCCCTTGCTCTCTCTCAAATTCATGGCCTCTTTTTCTTTAATTGTTGTAATACACACACACACACACACACACACACACACACACACACACACACACACACAAAACTCACACACTCACATATACATTTCTAAATACACAAGTACAAGTTGCTCAGTCCATATAATGTTACCTGTATGTATCTGATTGTTAAGGCTGATTCCAGCTTCTTAAGCTTTTTTCATTTTTGATCTTTTCTTGCCTATAAAGTTATTTTATTACCATGATTATATAGATTTAAACAATAGGTATGCAAACCAAATGTTTATTGATAATAAATTAAACATAAATTGATTTTAAAACAATTCTTTGGTACACATATAGTCTTAACATTGATTAAAGACTAAATAAATTTTCCTACTAATGGCATGCATTGCTTTCTTATTTCATGATAAATAATTAAATCTTGGTTGAACAATTGTTACTACAGGACACAAACTGTCTTCAACATTTTTCAGTTGACTGATATTTTGACTTTGTAACCACTGATTCTGAGAATGTCGCTTTGCATAAATACATACTACAAAACCACACAAAAAAATGTTTCTGGCCATTTTAGAAATTGTTGGAAATTGTGTCCTAATCTCAAGCAGTGCAGTGAAAAGTACGCATACCATGCTTAGCTTTGTCAACTTGACACAATATAAAATCGCCTGGGAAGAAAGTCTCAGTGAGGGATTATTTAAATTTGATTAGCTCTTGTGGTGTTTCACCATGTCTGCATGCATACCACCATGATCCCAGCCATGATGACAATGAACTAAACCTCTGAAACTGTAAACAAGCCTCAATTAAATGCATTCCTTTGTAAGAGTTGCCCTGGTCATGGTATCTTTTCACAGATGTAGAACACTAACTAAGACAGTCTTTGAATGTGTCTGTAAGGAGTTGTTTTAATTGAATTCATTGTTGTGGGAAGACCTAGTTTACGATGGGAAGCACCATTCCCTATGTTGGTATATATCTAAATGGTATAGACGTGGAAAGTTCAAGCTGAGCACAAGCAAAGCAAGTAAGTAAGGGTATTTGCACTCATTTCCCTGTTCTTGACTGTGGATGTGATGTGACTAGTTGTCTTAAGTTCCTGCCTTGACATCTCTCAGTGATGGACTGTAATATAGAATTGAAAACTGCAATAATCCCTCTGCCCCCATAAGTTACTTCTGTCAGGGTATTTTATCACAGTCACAGAAATGAAACTACGGCAATCTGGATCACGGGGCCTTGAATTAACAATAAAGAGAGGTGCATTTTCCAGGTTGACTTTTTCTGTTTTCAAGCTGGATTTTTAGACAGTGTACTTGGACCAGTATCATTAACAAGCATTTTAAACAGCCCAAGGTCAACATATTACCTATGTGTTTGGACACGGATTCATTTGGCCCCAAAGAGAAACCTCAGACCTGTTTTATTAATTATGGTTTTGTGGGCAAGCTGGTTAACTTCTTTGTATGTTTTCTTCATATCTGCAAAACAAAGATAATATGAGAGTACCTATATTATGTGTGATTGGGAGGCTGTAATTAGATAACTCAAGTAAATCTATTAACGGAGGTCCTGACATATAATTAGAGCTGGATAAATGTTGGCAAACTTATTATTATGGTTGTTGAGAAAATCGAAATGATAGCTATTTATGCAAATCTCTAAGTTTTATGCTTGGCGCTGAACAGAGGATTAATATGAGCTCCTCTCTCTCTTAAAAACCAGAGAGCAGATCTTATTTGCATAGGACATGAAAGGGTACTTTTTGAAAAAGAAGCCCCATTCTGATTTATTATGCTGCCTCATTTATTAGTGGCTCTCTCATCAAATGCTCCAATCTTCATTGAGAAAATCTCTAATATTCACTGGCCAGAGGGAAAAAAAAAAACAAGGCAAATGTCCTAAAGACAAGACTCTGAGTGAAGTGAAGATACCAGAGCTGCCCTCTGTCTCTTCCACAGTCTTTCCAGTTCTCTTCAGTAAAGTGGCAGAAGAAAGTGGAGTGGAGCTGATCTAGTTTGACCTCCAACATTGAGAAAACAGTCTCTGGGAGAAAGGATCACTTTTTATGCCCGGCTCTGCCCAGGGGAGAATGGAAGGGAAGACCTTGAAGCAGGTAGAGAACAGAGAGGAACAGGAAACTGGAGATTCAGTGTTGTCTTCAGGTCTCTGGGCGTTATGGGCTGGGGGTTGATCCCATTATGGCTTTTCCAAGCGGTTTGTTTTCGAAGTCAAAGGTTCTTATTTAATGAGAAAGTCTGTATCTCAAGGCTCTAAATTGCAGGAGAGCCAGGTGAGGAATGATCAAACAATCTCTTGTCAGTTCAACCTTACATCATTACCTTCTGTCTGTAGGGAAAAGAGGGAAGGGGAGAGAGTAAGGCATGATCAGTGGTAAAGGGCTATTTATGCCCCCCCAAAATAATTTGTAGATGTAGGAGCAGAGTCCAAAGACATCCACAGGACAAGCATCAAAGTCCAGTATTTGACCCCTTTGATGGTTCTTGTTAGGACCTCAGACCCTGGTTATCAAGAACAGCACCTTGAGGACTAAAGGATATCTCAGCAACTGAGTATCTGATGCCCTGTTCTGTCCACCCCAAGCACCCAAACCATGGGATGCCCTTATGTACATACTGGCAAATATACACATATATAAAATGACATATACCAATCGAAAAATGATGAAGCACAGCTGGAGAGTAGAGAGTGGAGAAATGGCTTAGCAGATGGCTTTCCAGAAGAGCCGAGTTGAGTCGCAGCACCCACATCACAACCATCGGCCACTCCAGCTTCAGGGAACCTGACACCTTTTCTGTGTTCTATAGTCACTGTACTCCTGTGCATATACCCAACCAGCCTCACCCCCAGACATAGACCTAGAATTGAAAATAAAATAAAATAAAATTGAAATAGAAAACAAGAACCATAGCTCGGTTTTAGTGTGTTTGTGTGTGTGTTTAGTATTTCCTTACAGTAATAGGCAAGCTCCTCAACCATAAGATCTCCCTACTCAGTCATGGGTCAGGAGGCAGCTTAGCCTTGGCCTTCTGTTCCTTTATTCAGTTCACTGATATCTACAACTCTATACCAGATTACGTCCTGCAGCACACTGAATGACAGTAGAAGGCAGGCGTAAGGAGATTTTTTTTTTTTTATGACAAAATTAGGAGGTGCAAAAACAGAGACAAGGAAATCATCATAATGTATCACAAGACAACACATCCCAGACACAGAGAGCAGAGGGAAAACATGAGAGAACATCTCATGGTGTGCAGTGTTTCCATGAAAAGCAAAGTAAAGTGAAGCTGTCTAGGCACTGTGAAGCGGCCCTGAAAAAAAAAAAAAAAAGAAGTACAATACAGTCATAGGAATAAAAAGGAAAGAAGGAAATAAAATGTCCAAGAACAGTCAATTAAAGAACGAGACCAGTAGGAACCAATGATGGATCAGAAGAAGGACAAAGGACTTCATGGAAAGGAGTAAGTAGACAGCTGGCACATTTGGAGGAGACTAAAACGAAACATCTCAACATCGCAAAGATGTATGGAGAAACAATGAGGAGCAGAGTTGGGAGGGAGTTACGGTTAAAAGCACAGAGATAAAAGAGAATGCTGTTTCTGGACTTAGAGGTTAGAGCCTCTGCCCCAGTAAGCCAGGTCCAACCAGCCATCATTGTTAAGCTAATTAAAAGAGCTAAGTAGTCGAAAGTGGCAAAAAGGAGATTTATTCAATTTTGTCATATTGGGAAGGGGAAAGACATCCAGTGAGCTCATCCCCAGTCTATCTCTGGGGTCCTGATGTAAGCGTGGGATTTAAACAGAAAGCAGGAGGTATACATGACTAAGCAGTTAGCCAAGCAGAGGTCTGGTAGTCTCCATTGTCTCAGGTCTAAGTCTTCTCCTGCAAAGTCATCTGAGGAGTTGGAGGGCTTTCTCCAGGAGACACCTTCCTCCTTCAGAAGCCCACAGTGCTTCAGCCATTTCTTCCATGGGGAGATTACTGGAGAAAATTCTAATGCCTTAGTGTCCATTATTTCTAAAAATTTGTTACAGAACTGATATGCCTTCCAGGTAAGACATCACTCCACCCACTTAGGGATTAATGAAGGAAGAAGTTCTTTAATATTGGTTCACAACTGCTTCTAACTAATTCACAGAAGAGAAATAGTCTCAAATAGAAAATCTTACTGGCTTACATAGACCGTATGCTTACACGTTCCACATACACTGTCATCCTTAAATCTCCTTCAGAGCCCAGCCCCAGGTTACACTTTGAACAATTTAAAGAGTGATAGGAGACTTCAAGTCTGGCCACTAGCACACATGGGAGAATTACACAGCAAAGATATTACCAGTGTTATTAAGAACACCATTGTTGTTCCTCTTGAATAGTTTTTCGAACAGCAGGGCCCTCTTGCCCACCTCGCAAATAATGCTTTTCCTAATAAGAGCACAGGGGATTTAATGGCAAACCAGGACTTAATGATGATTGCAACTCTGTGCTGTGTGTGTGTGTGTGTGTGTGTGTGTGTGTGTGTGTGTGTGTGTGTGTGTGTTTCATGGAGGGGGGTCATCTGACCCTTAGAGCGTGTTCTTTGAGGGATGGGCCTGTAGCATGAATGTTAAAGAGTCTTATTAATAAAATCAAACCTGAAGCCAGTTATTGGGGTGAATACTGGACGATCAGAGAGACAGAACAAGCAACAGCTATCTCACCTTGCAGGTTTCTCAGCTGGTCCTGTTTCCTCAGACTGGAAGCCTCTGAGTCCTCATCCAGAATGAATCTCAGCTGAACTGCTGCTAGAAGCCTGAATGCTTAACCAGCCAAAATGCTTAACCAGGCAAATGCTTCCAGTTTCTGGTCCTCACGCCTTATAAACCTTTCTGCTTTCTACCACCACTCCCTGGGATTAAAGGCTGCTTTCTGGGATTAAAGGCGTGAGTCACAGCCTGGCTGTTTCCAATGTGGCCTTGAACTCAGAGATCCAGAGGGATTTCTGTCTCTGGAATGCTAGGATTAAAGGCGTGTGCTAACATTTTCTAGCCTAAGTATCTTGTGGCTTTTCTGTTCTCTGACCCCAGATAAGTTTATTAAGGTACACAATATTTTGGGGAACACAATACCACCACATGGGCCTAATGACTGGTTGTTTTAAGTCAGGGTTTTTCTTTTTTTATTATGGCAATTGAGCCTGACTGGAGGTCAATCTTTGAAAACACACACTAGCAGAAACTTTCTCAGCAACCCCAAACTTCAGTTATGGTACCAATTTTTGTTTTAGGGTTTCTAACAGTCTGATTAGTATACTATTTATCTCCCAGTCATAGTGAAGGTAGTGCTCCTTCAGCTAAATTCAACTTTGTGTAACTTAATATTTCCTAAGCAAGTTTATTAGTAAATCCCTTATAACATCAGTTACATTATTTCAAGTTTCTCCTGCATCAGTTTGATAGCCAAAGAGGGGAACATCAGTGTCTCTTTAGAATATATACATCCCTACCAAACAGACAGATTGCAGTATCATAATAGTTTGTGGAGAATGAGAAAGTCCTCAAAATATGAACACAGAAGGATGGAAAAGAACATATGGGCTTGATGAAATTTAAGGATGTAAGCGAAATTTTTATGCTTTACAGGTGTGGGTGCAAGGCATTTGTGAGGACACCTGACTGAGAGAAGGTAGAAAAGATTCTGTTATGGCCCTGCACCTCACCCAGACAACAGCAGAGCTGACCCTGTTGGCTGGGTACAGGTGAAGGTGTGAGAGCAGGAGAGCTGACTGCTCCTGCCCTCATCAGCCATATGGTGGCATGAGTGAGGGAAAGATGCCCACCCCCCTCTTTCTCCTTGCCACCTGTGGCAGGTGGGAGAGCTAGCCCTGGCCCTCCCTGACTGCAGCTCAGGGGAAGTGGACCCGACACCTTGGCTGGGCAGCACACCAGAGCTGACCATGTTGGGGGCAGGCACAGGTGAGCTGGCCCTGAGGGTGTGAGAGCAGGATAACTGGCCCAGTTCTTTGTTGCCTGCTTGTGGTGATATTTTATTTGTGCTTTAATAAATAAAGTTTGCCTAGAGACCAGAGAAAATAGCAAGCCATTTTAAGTAAACAAAGAAGTCAGGCAGCGGTAGCACACACCCTTAATCCTACCACTTAGCAGGCAGGATCTCTGTGTGTTCAAGGCCACACTAGGGAACAGAGCCAAGTGTGGTGACACATGCCTTTAATCCCAGTACCAACCATAGTGACAGGGAGGTCTGTACAGACAGAAAGTGACAGAACTGTGTAGGAAGAGGAAGTGAGGTAGCTGGGCTAAGAGAGCCAATGAGAGGGCACAACAGCAAGGCAATAAAGGTGTGGGTAGACAGGAAGCAACTCACATTTGGAAGCTGCTGAGCTGGTGAGGTGAGGTTAGCTGTGGCTTTCCCTATTTCCCTGATCTTTCTCTAAGGCTTTCACCCCTATATTTGGCTCCGTGTTTTTTTAATTAATAAGATCATTTAGAAATTTGTCTACACCTGCTGCAGTGGGTGAGCTAGCTGGGGCAATGCTGGAGAGCTTGAAGAGGTAGGCTGATCAACCCAGCTACTACCTAAGCCCAGAACCAGGGCTGTGAGTTGGCCCACCCCAACATCCACCTCATCTATGATCTGCTAGAACGTGTGAAGGGGCCAGGCCTGCAGACCCAAAGCTGCAAGATCTCCACCACACAAGACAACAATATGATATCCAAGAAGAGTCCCACTGAGGGCCCTATAGCAAGGGTGTAGCAGAAGTCAGAGACCTCAAACCAGACCAATGACTCACTGCAATGAACACTTGTAAGTAAAGATGTATGGAGCAAAGGGTACAATGTGTGACTCACTGTGTCACATTATAGCTTCCACTCTGAGACATTTTGTTTTTGATATGTAAGTTAGTTTTTGTTTTTTGTTCTTTGTTTGTTTTTCTTTTAAATTTTATTTTTTTAATTTTAATTTTTATTTTTTTGGTTTTTCAAGACAGGGTTTCTCTGTGTAGCTTTGCACCTTTCCTGGAACTCACTGTGTAGCTAAGGCTGGCCTCGAACTCACAGAGATCTGCCTGCCTCTGCCTCCCGAGTGCTGGGATTAAAGATGTTTTTGGAAGGGAGGTTGCAAGGGCAGAGGGTGGATTGATGGGATGGGGAGATGAATGAGATCAGGATGCATAATGTGAAATCCACAAAGAGTCAATTTAAAAAGTCTAAAAAAAGACTCTGTTAATCATGTACTAAAAAATTGCTATCCACAAACCAGTCTTCTCTCAGCAAATGAATTTGTTATGGCATAGCCCCACTGGAGAAAAGGAAAAGAAGGGCTGACTCTTGAGAGTAGTCTCTAGACTTTAAGAGTATTCTATGGTCTTATTGAAAATTATGCATTTCTATACACTAGTATATTATTTAGCTGTATAAAGAAAGACTTATCATGGAATGGGGGTGGGGATAGGCTAATGGGGATAGACTAGGGAGGAACTGACAGTTGATGGTGTCTTGGGAAGGTAGAGTCAATTTTCTTTAAGGATGTAGCTCCTAGTAGGAACACCCCACTCCAGTGGGTAATTCCACACTCACAAGTAAGTATATGGTCAGTACAAACTGGACTAAGTGGTTTGTTAAAAAAATAAAACAGAACATAATGTTGGCGGTTAAATACAGGATGGAACTTGGAGGAGTTAGGGGTGAGCATGATTAAATACATTGTAAGAAATTATCAAAGTGCCGATAAAATATTATTTACAGTTTTTAATTTATAAAGTAAAAATGAAATGGAATCATATTAATAAATAGTTTTTATGGGAATTATAATAACAACAACATTAAAAAAAACAAAACAAGAAGCTATCAAGTCACGAAGAGGCAGGAAGGAGGAATCTTGCCTAATGTGAACTTCTCCGGTCTACAGAGGATCTGTCCTGCCTGATTCTACTTCCATAGCATTCTCAAAGAGGCAATATTGTGGATGAGGAAATACTGCATTATTGGGGGCACATGATGTGGAGATGGGGAGGAACAGACAGAGAGCAGCAGGTTTTAAGGACAATGAGGTGATTGATTCTGTAGGATCCTGCCATGTATTTACATCATAATACATTTCTCAAAATCCAGAGAATTGTTCAACGCAGTGTGACTATCCTAATATAAAGGAAGGACTTTGGTTAATCTAGTGTTTAATTTTGATTTGATTGTAACAAATAAACAGACCCAAAATGTGAACAGAGAAAAATGTGTACAGCAGAGATAGAAAGGAAGTGTGCATGTGGACTGTCTGAATCCGCTCCTCAATTTCTGTCAATCTAAAACTTTTAAAAATAAATTGTAGTCAGTTCATTAGACATACATTTTCCATTGCATGGGAATGGATTTGAGAATTAGCAACATAGAACAGCACCAGGTTAAGTGCAGTGTGACTTTGTTTTCCAAGAGCATCTGCATGGATTTTTAAATTCAAAAAACTCAGACAATCTGGAATTTTGCTGAAAACAATGAAATTTTCTCAATCTCTTGAAATTTCTTCCAGCGGTCAAATCTGTAAAGACTGTTTGACTGACTGTGTGCTATTGAGTCAGAAACTTGCCTTGAGTTCTTACCAATGCTCTCAAATGCCCCAGGAACTCCACTCTGTCTCTTCCCCAACCAGTTCCTGTCTTCTGATGGAGCACTGTGATCTTCAGGATGATGCAGAGATGATCTATCTAATTTAGGGTTTTTCATTTCGCCCATCACTGGTTTGGACACCGAAAGGCCACTTCAAATCCAGAACAGAGAATTAATCTATAAAAATTCAATTAACCTGTAGGATGCTTGTGGACTCCTCAGGAAACTCAATCAGAGTTTTCCTAACTTATTAGTTGCTTCAACTGTTTTGAATTTTGTAGTCTTGACAATGGCACTGAACAGTCAGAATAACCCTAAAAGTGAAGCAAACTAAGAGGGTAAATCCAAGTATCAGATTGTCCCATCATACTTACAAACATCCAGATAAACCTCATCTGTGAGTTCCAAAGGCCGAGTCCTGAGTGTGCTGGTGTACTAAGAATAAGCCACCACACTTCCTGATGACAAAGTCCCCAAAGTGCCTGTCTTTTCTACCTCATCTCTAATGTGCTGAATGCTTTGAGAGAGAGAGAGAGCCCAGCTGAAGTGACAGACAGACCCTAGGTACCTATAGCATTGATATGGTCACAGAGTTGGTCTTTTTGGAGCTTGTTTCAACATTCTGTTCTAAATAAACAAACAAACAAACAAACAAACAAATAAATAAATAAATAAATGGCTACACAAAAAGGAAAAGCAGCTGTTTCCTGAAGTTGAGGATTGTGCTTAACATTCCAGAAGTAAAAGACTTCCAGTAAGAACAAAATCCAGGGTGTCGGTGGATATGGGTGGTTGGTGTAAATGTATGTCTTCAAATTTCTGGTTTTGGATGCAGTAGGCAAAAGGAGCATAGGTCCTTGTTCATCTTGTGACATCACTGTCAGTGCCCAATACACCCCCTGACAAAGTCACCTGTGCACGAAGGATAAATGAGACTTGAAAAACAAAACAGAAGCGGCATACGAAGAGAAAAAACGATAGCTGTGCTTAGTAAGAACCACACACTCAAGCACATATTTCAGGGCTGCCTCCCCAGCAGGAAGTTTCGTGACCAAGCACTGACCCTTTCCTGACACAATGTGTGTGTTGACCGAAACCCTTTGAAGAGTTTACAAAGTTATAAAAACTTTCAAACGTTTACAAACTCTATACAAAATAAAAGAACTTGGTGGACAATGGACCCTACTGAGAAAGGCAGGCAGTCAACTGAATTTTCTCTCTTCTACAGCCGAACATGGTGGTGACTAGTTATCTGCTGTGGAGAAATGATCTGTACAGTTGTTATGCTTGAGGATAAGCAAATAAGCCTTATCTTCCTCTGTATTCCTTTCCACTATTGGTGACAACTTACCATTTTATTTACCACATTTTTATTTGTGTGTATGTTTGATCGGAGGGATGTATCATGGTGCATGTGTGGAAGTCAGAGGATACCTTGGGTCAGTCAGTTCTTTCCTCCTACCCTGGGGTTCTCAGGGATCAAACTCAGGTTGGAAAGGCTTGGCAGAAATCTACTGAGCAATCTTGCCAGACTAATCCTAGTGTTTTAGAAGCCCTAGTATTGATCGTTTATAAGCATAGTATGGCACAGAAGATGGGGAGATATGGAGGGAGGGAAGAAGCAAGAGAGGTAGAGAGGGAGGAGAAAGAGAGAAATGAGACGTGAGAGCAAATGAGCATAGCAGACATTTCTGTTTGGAAACAGTTTTGTTGGAAAAAACAAGACTTATGTCTCACAAAACATTTGGCAAAGATTGTTGCTGCACAGTCACTTATCTGAGGATGTGTTTCAGGAAGCTGCTGCTAGCTGGAAAATGTCCTCCAGAAGAGGCCTTGAAGATCAGTGGGTAACACACTCCCTGGTTGTGTCGAGGCTCAAAGAGTTTGGGATCCAGGGTGCTTTTCCCATTCAAATTATAGAATTTGTGATTGTATTCCATTCTTCAGCTACTTTACACATCTGCATTTGTCAAGAAAAGAGGATTTTAAGCTTTTATGTTTTCCTGAGCCATATGGGTAGGGCTGGGAAAGAAGGCACAATTATGGGGGAAAAAAGGTGTGGTGGGAGCCAGGGGGCTAGGTATGGAACAATAAAAACAAGAAAGCCAGCCAGGTATAAAAAAAAGCATCTTTCCTGATGGTTGGAAGGGGAATTGGCACTCTTTGTTGGTGGCCTTTTACTTCTGGCCTACAGCTTGCATTTAATTTGAATCTTATTAACATGAGGAATCTAGCACACCAACCTGATCCTCTCAATTCCTGTGCTTAATTTTAAAAGTCTGCAAGTTGAATAAATGGCTTTGCAGGAGAGGACAGCTTCTTCCCAGCAAGGTAAGGGCCAAGGTTATCAGCAAAAGTAACAGCCTGGAAAGAGAACAAATGTGGCCTGTGCTTGTAGAAAGCAAAAAAAAAAAAAAAAAAAAAAAAAAAAAAAAAAAAAAAAAAGGTGCTGGGTGGGAGAGCAGTGGAACATTAAAGAACATTATTTTAAGTAAAATGATGCACAGTGAATTCTGTGCATGACCTTTCACTAATTTATCTGATCAAGACTAAGATGAGCATATAAGTATGATACATACACACACACACACACACACACACACACACACACACAGATGAGTACAGATGAGTGTACTGGGATATTCACTGTGGCACAAACACAATAATGAATCAATGATCAGTATGTCCTAAAAGAGAGAGCGATTAAACAAATTATATAGCCATTACAAAAACTAGAATGCTCTGTACTAACTAAGAGGCCCACCGTTACATTTAGCAAAATGGATAATTGTGCTCTTGACATGTTGAATAGAAAACAGAGACTGAAAAACAACATGAAAAGAATAAGTGAATTTTTATTCAAAATTCAAACTGAGTTTAATCCTTCTGGCAATCTGTAAAATCAATGTTGTCAGTTCTTTTTCAATCCAAGTTCCCTAATTGATATTCTGCTCTTGGCTTAGCACCATAGAGAAAAGGATTATGGAGCGGATTGGGTGGTTTGGGGAAGAGACAACTAGTTTAGAATATTTGCCATCTTTCTGGAGCTGTGCTAAATATTTGCTGTGGACTGAATAGTGCTCCGCTCCCCCAATTCACTGCTAAATCCCAGACACCTAGTTCTCTGCTGTGATTAGCAGCACACTTCTGCAAGGTTAAAGGATTATAAAGAAAGGGACTTTATACCATAGAATTGATGTCTTGAAAGATGGAAGATGTGTCAGAGAAATATTCATTCTCATGTGTGTGTGTGTGTGTGTGTGTGTGTGTGTGTGTGTGTGTGTAGTGCGATATATATATATCACTCTTTGCCATCTTTGAGCAGGAAATGACTTTCCACTGATTTTGGACTTCCTGGTCTTGAGAACTATGAAAAATAAATATTTATTACTTAACTGCCTTTTAATATCCCACCAGGAGCTAGAGTTATAGGTTGTTGTGAGCCATCTAATGTGGGCTCACCAAACTGGATTTGAGTCCTGCAATTGAGTCCTATGCAGTAAGACTGTTGTGGAATATTACGTTAACCATGCAAAGACATGTTATGTTTGTTTATGTTGTGGAATATAACTTTAATTATGCAAAGATGTTTTACATTTGTTTATGTTGCATTTGTTAATTATGTAAAGATGTGTTGCTTTGCCTATCTAAGGCACCTGATTGGTGTAATAAAAACCTGAATGGCCAATAGCTCAGCAGTAAAGGGATAGGGGCTGGCCAGCAGAGAGAATAAGTAAGAGGAGGAATCTAAGTTGGAGAGAGAACAAGAAGAGGAGAGACTAGGGAGAAAGAGTGAGAGATGTCTGGGACCAGGCAGGCAGGCAACCACCAGCCAGCCAGACATGGAGTAGGACATACAGAATTAAAGAAAGGTAAAAAGCCCTGAGGTAAAATATAGATTAAAAGAAACAGGTTAAGTTATAAGAGCTAACAAGAAACAAGCATAAGATAAGGCTGAACATTCATAACCAATAATAAGCCTTTTTGTCATGATTTGGGAGCTGGTTGGTAGCCCAAAAGAAAGTCCATTACATAAGAGTAAGAGTAACAGCCCTTAACTACTAAGCCATATTTCTAGCTCCTTAACCTCTTTTAAAAAACTGGCTTTTCATGTAAGCCAGCTATACAACTTCTGGTCCCTTACCCAAAAGACTTCATATCTTACCAGAGAGACACTCATATACCCATGTTTATTGCTGCCCTATTCATAATAATATGCAATTGAAACCAGACTAGACATCCTTCAACATATGAACAGATAGTGTTCATATGTGCAGTGGGGGTTTTATGTATCTGTGAGGACAAATGAAAGCTTCAGAAACATGAATGGATTATGTAATATTAGGCAAGGTGATATAAACTGAGAAAGACTAAACCCACATACTCTCTTTTATTATGCACATTGTAGGTTTTGGTGTATACATATGGGTATGTAAATGTGTATAAAATGTAGGCAAATCCTGAAACCTAGAAATGAGACCAAGGGAGAGCAGAAAGAGATGCTGAGGAAGTGGGGGAAGGGCCATGAAACATAAAAGGAGACTAGGGGAGAGGTAACAAGGGTTGGAAGGTGGGTGGGTAAGAAGATGAGTGATTAGGAGAATTGATTAAAGCAGACTTTGTTCAAAAATGCCATAATGATATCTAATATCTTACAGGCTAATCTAATAAAAAAATTTTAAAAATGAAAAAACATGGTTTATAGGTTCATTCAAGCTCGTAAAGACTGAGGGTGAAGTTGAAAGTCATGTCTGTTTCTTGCCAAGCCCAAGCTCTCTCAGAGTGCCAAGAAGTAAGAAACCAGGCTTTTCAAATGTGTTTCTTTTTCTCTTAAAAACTATTTTCAAAATTACACTATTTATTTATTTACTTTGTGTGTATGTGTATGAGAGAGAGAGAGAGACTGAGAGACTGAGAGAGACAGAGATACACAGAGAGAGGGAGACAGACAGACACAGAGAGAGAGGGAGACAGAGAGACAGGGACAGAGGGGGGAGAGAGAGAGAGAGAGAGACAGAGACAGAGAGAGAGAGACAGAGGGAGGGAGGGAGAGAGAGAGAGAGAGAGAGAGAGAGAGGGAGAGAGAGAGAGAGAGAGAGAGAGAGAGAGAGAGAGAGAGAGAGAGAGAGAGAGAGGGAGAGAGAGAGAGAGAGAGAGCGAGAACAGTCATATGCCACAGCAGGTAGAGGTCCAAAGACAACTTAGAAGAGCCCATTGTTCTCTCCTTGGACTGTGGCGATCCCAAAGATTTGCATTCAGGTCATCAGGCTTGGCAGCACTGGCACTCTGTCAGTCATTTTGCTGGCCCTGTAGGTGTTTCTTCTGAAACAGGAGGGAACGTGGATCTTCAGTCAATCTGCCTTGTCTCCAGAATAATGGATGGTACTTTTTCTGATGTTCAGCCTCTGTTTCTCTTTTTAATACCATTTTCTCTGTTCTTCACCTTTGTGTGCCATGTTTCTTTTCTTTTCTGTTTTCTTTTTTTTTTCATCAAGAAATCCTCCATTCACTCTACATACCAACCACAGATCCCACCTTCTCCCTCCCAAGCCTTCCCCCATCCCCACATCCTCCAAATCAAGGTCTTCCATGAGGAGTCAGCAGAGCCAGGCACACTCAGCTGAGGTAGGTCCAAGCCCCACCCCACTGCACCAAGGCTGTGCAAGGTGTCACACGTTAGGCACTGGGCTCCCAAAAGCCTGCCCATGCACCAGGGCATTGTGATCCCCCTTCCTGGGTGTCCCCTAAACAGTTTGAGCTAAACAACTGTTTCACATATCCAGAGGGCCTAGTCCAATACAATGGGGGCTCCATAGTCATTAGTCCACAGTCCATGGGATTCTACCAGTGTGGCCGGTCATCTCTGCACATTTCCCGTCATGATCTCGACATCCCCATCCACAGAATCCCTCCTCTCTCTCACTGTTTAGATTCCTGGAGCTCAGCCTGGCGCCTGGCCATGGATCTCTGCATCTTCTTCCATCAGTCACTGGATAAAGGCTCTATGATGACAATTAGGGTATTCATCAGAGTAGACTGCTCAATCTTACCAAAAGGACACATGCTCAACTATGTTCATAGCAGCATTATTTATAATATCAAGAACCTGGAAGCACCCTAGATGCTCCTCAACTGAAGAATGGATAAAGAAAATGTGGCACATATACACAATGGAGTACTACTCAGCCATGTTTCTTTATATCCTGTTTTGAAAATACCAATGTTACTTGGCTTATTTGGAGATTGTCTTCTAAGGAGATGTGTCAGAGTGCTATGTTGAGAAACAGTAGATATATTATGTGTAATTATGTGAACTGACTAGACTGCTCAGTGTGGTTCCCACAATTTGCTCAGCTATCATTCGAGCTGTGTCTGTAATGGCATTTCTAAGTGACAGGCATTTGATAGAAGTGTGAGCAGAACAGATTGCCCTCTCTCTTGTGGACAAGCTTAACTTAGTCAATTAGTTTGACTAGGGCGAAATGACTGATCCTTTTTGAGGACAGCAGTCCTCCTTGCCTGACTATCTTGAGTTGGGATGTCATCTAGTTCCTGCAAGGTATTATCCACTCACCCCGGTTCTCAGGTCTGCTAGGATTTGGACTGGAACTATGTTCTTGTCTGTTTGGAGTCTCTAGCTTGCTTGCAACACATTTTGGGATGAGTCAGCTTCCAAAATTGCATGACTAGTACCTCATGATAAATGTTTTCCTCTTACTCAATACATTGTCTTAATTCAGCATCTCCAGAGTATACTCTCCCTTCCAGTCAAAATTTACAATTAGGATGGGCTCTGAAAGCAATCTAATTTGATTTGCTGTATGTGCTCAAGCAGTGGAATTGGTCTTCAGCACATGGCTCTT